GGGGGACACAAGCGATTAGCGAGTATACCCACTCTTCACACTCAGGTCTTGTTCGGCAACCAATCTCCAGGTCTGGTAATGAGAAGGCGTGTTCGACAATGCTGATATCAATCGCCCGGCAGTTTCTGCGTTAATAATGCAAATGAGCTTAATTAAACATTTCGGAACTACAGTATATTCGTTATTGAAGGAGGGAACATGTCCTCCGACAATAAACGTACGTGTGGTTCGCGTTTAATACCCCCATATAGGTCGAAGAATCATTAAACTAGTAGATTCTGTGATTCTAGAATGTTGTAGTTAGGGAATGATGCAGATATGGAAGGGGCGCGATAAGAGTTCCTCGCGTTAGTCGTAATTGCATATTAATCAATCATATCATGGGAAAGACTAAATAAGAAATCTTATAGATTTAAAAACCAAGCAATGCATGATGCTAAAATTTAGCTTACGGTATTTCAACGCTATGACAGATGTACCTTCTTAAATGTTAAGCCGCGTTACTGTACACTTAAACTGATCAAATTAGTATGCAATCTAATAAGGCTATCTTTTTTTTTTTTAAAAAAACAACAATAAAATGAAATAAAACAAGCGTGTTTCTTAGGATAGTTTTACACCTATGGATTTAACTGTAAAATTATTGAATCGCATAACGATGCACAGGTAGTTGAAGTATAAATGATAAAATAGTAAAGTACATACGTAATTGATTCTCTCTTTTTGAAAGATGCAGTGGTAACAAGACAAAAAACGAGAAAAAAATCAAAGAATTTATCACCATATTTCAGACGTTAGGAGAGTGTCATATAGTGTCAGAGAAATACAATTGAAAAAATAATTAGAATGTTATATTCACGTTGTTAAGTGAAGGGAAATAGTAGTTATTCTGATAAAATATGTGGATAGTTTTAGGGAAAAACCAAGCATCAGCCTGTCGAGGAGAAAATGTATGCTTAAGCAATTTAGTTATTTTTTCTGGGATAAAAATCAAAACAAAGGGTTGAATCCATGTTAACGTGGGCTGGCGTTTTGAAAAATGGTATTCGAAATTAATTAAGATACACAGAAACAAAATATGTAAGATTAGAATTTAAATTATTACTAAGTTTGGCTGTTGCACAAACACACATACTCATAAATATTCTGATCGTACAAGAAATATGGGAATTTTAAGTAGATTTAAATGTATGAAACATCAGAACGCTATTATTGAATGTAATTAATATTTAAACGTATGAAAGATTAGAATTATAATTTATTTGATTTCTCGTGACTTATCATTGCAATCAAGTAGTATTTTGTTAATTATGAAAATGAATGAATAATAATGAAACATCAATTTTGTAATATTTTTTATCAATTTAATCAGAAAACTGGCTTTGGCGATTTAAAGTATTTCAAACGTTCAACCCCAGTTTTAAATCAAGAATTTCAATATCATTAATATTCGAATAACTTTAAAATTCACGGAATTTTCCTAAAATCATCAGATATTCCCTTAAATTTGAATGTTTTTTTCTGCAACATGTTGTTTAAGAGCTAAAACTGCATGCTATCTAGATCACTTAAGTGTTTAATTATAGATAAATAGACTTAAGTTTAATTAAATTATTACCAAACGGAAATACATAAATTTTGATAAATAAATCACTTAACACGTCTCCAATACAACTGTTTCACAAATTCGGTAATTCGAAAAAGCAAGATATAAATACTCCGAAAATAAAGTCAAGAACGAAAAGTGAATTCAGAAAATGAAATATAAGCATAATAAAAGATAAGAAATGAACAAAAAATTGAGTTATGAAAATTTGACTCTTGATGTGTCAAATGTAATCAACTGATTTAATTAGTATACAACCGTTTTCTATAAAACAAAAACTCTGATTTGATAGATTATACTTATATTATTGGAAAAAAGTATATCTCGAAATTTGTACTGCAATTAATCCAAAATATACGCAGAATTGAAAAAGAAATGAAAATTTCAGTATGAAAGATTAACTTTTTAAACAGCAATATTTTCTGAATATCATTCCATTAAGTTTTCTGGGTTTATAGGGTTAAACTTTGAAATGTATTTAACCAATTAGAAAAATATTTTCACTAGCTACATTTAGATTCCCTCCCCTTCATGGGAAAAAAAAAAAGCGCAACAACGTCTGCAGTCAAGAAAAGAAATAAAAATGGTATAGATTTATTGATTCACACAGCGATGAATAGGAAATCTTTTGCACCCCAAGCTGTTACCATTCACCTACAGTTTCGGATCTATAGATTGTTCACAATGAAGGCATTAAGACTCATGTCAATAGACATTTACTGTTGCCTTTTGGAAGGGGGAATTTCATTGTCTGACCCTTTTAAGCTCAGTTTCGTAAATCGATACGAAATAAAAGTCATAAAAACAAACAAACAAAGAAACAGATAACCCGAAGTTACAAAATATAAAGTTTCAACTAATTTTTTATCCTTCATATAACGAAACAAAAACCATGAATATAAAGGGGAAAAAGATACATGACGCAGACACGTTATTCGAAAAAATAGTCAATAAACAAGTAATCTCTAAATTATACAACAAATATAAGTAATAGTAAGCATTGGGATTTGAATAAATAATAACAAGTAAGTTAAAAGAGATAAAAAAATAAATTATAAGGATTGTAAGGTTTTATTGTACAGTAAGACCCCGCTTAACGCTATTTCGATTTAACGCTCTTTTATTTTAATTGTGGGATTCCACGAAATTGAAAGCAGCATTAGGCTTCCCGATATCCGAAGCAGTTTATCTGTATTTCCTCTTTCCTGTGGTGTTACATGAACGTACTTTTACGTTTCAAACATTTGTTGACGTTATTGTAAGTATAAATTTATGTCATATAACGATTGCTATAGTGACAAATATTATGATTTTTAGTTTTTATCATGGGTGATAATAAAAAACACGAAAATAGAGCAACAAGAAAAAGCATTTTCACTTGAAACTAAAATGCAAGTGATTAGAATATTAGATACTGGTGAACGTCAATCTCAAATTGGTGCTGCATTGAATTTGGCAACTTCAACAGTAAGGACCATTCTTAAGAATAAATAAAAAAATACTGTCATCGGCAACTGCAACTACGACAAGCTCTGCAACTAGAAGTACTCGTTCCAGAAATAATAAAATAGAAGAAATGGAAAAATGGCTTTTTATATGGACTGACGACGAAATTGAACGCAATATGCCATTAAACTAAGACTTAGAATTTTATTTATTTTTATATGCATATTATATTTCTATATTTGTAAGAAATAAATTTTTGTTTTATTGTTATAAAAAAACATAATTAATAAATTTAATGGTAAAATACCTGACCATTTTTCTATTTATCTTCCCCTAACCCCATTATTTACATGATAACCTCGTTTAACGCTGTTTCATATTACGCTCTACTTGGATGGAACGCATACCCCGCGTTAAGCGGGGTCTTACTATATATTAAATGTAATGTATTTATTTTGCATCGTAAAAAAAAATCATTCATAACATCATAAGAAAATTAAGTCTACTTCTCTCTTCATTTTGAATCTTTTTACTTTACACAATGAAATCTATTTACCATAAAATTCGGTGTATAACGCGCACTTTTAACAAAAAACAAGATCGAAATTTATAGGTGCGTGTTATACGCTGGGTATAAAAATGATAGCTTCAAACATACAAAAAAGGAGTTGAGCATAAAAAAAACAAGACTTCCGCATAGATCGAAACACGGTTTATTTAAAATAAACGACACACCTAATGAATTTAAAGAGTTGTAATTGCAAAAGTATACTATTTTTGAAAACCTTGGAATATTACCTCCAATAAATGACTTCAAAAACAAAATAGAATTGCACGTGTACATTTTAGGTTCTTTCGTAAAAAAGGGGGTGTGCGTTATACGGCGAATATACCCAAATTTTTTTTAAAAAAAAGCTTGAAAGTATAGGTGCGCATTATACACCGGTGCACTTATACGATGGATTTTACGATATTTAAAAATATCTCTTATACAAATATTATTTTTAAAAACACATTTAGACACATAGATTTATACAATCTAAATAAAAAAAAAACTTTTTAAAAGATCTTCACATATTACTCCTTTTAATTCAATAGAACTATTATATCCACATTAAGTCAGGAAGCACATCTCAACACAGCAGTTTCTTAAAATATGATTGATTTCTTTTTTACATGAGTTACCACGATTTAAAATGCATAATCGAAAAAAAAAAATTATTCTACACAAAACAAACTTTTCAAATTACCATAATAGTAATCAAATATCTAAAGTCTTTATATATATAAATGCTGTTAGCTATTATAATTAATCTTTCACCTCAAACTTAACGAGCTTTTTCTCCTATTAATCCCTTAAAACGGGATAAAAAAAAGTGTGCCCAAAGTATTTTATTAAAGAGAACTTTCTAAATTCACCCTGTCCCGTTCAGTTAAGGTTTCTTAAAGTTCTGTCTCAGGTATTTCGTGAAATTCTTTAATTACAATGGGCGGGTTTGTCCGCTGAAATTACTAACGCGTTAATTAATCGCTTCCTCCAGACATTAATGACCCGTTTTTTCCCCTGTGTCTGCCTCCCCTTTTCTTTGAAGGATCAACATGTAGCTTTTCCAGAAGTATGCCAGGTGGTACATATAACTTATGGAAGCAAAGATAAAAAAAAAATCTTTGGCGTCACAAGTTCTGGATATACTTATCCAATTCCTACTATTATATAGTTCACTTTCTCCCTATATATATCTTGTTCAAATATTTAATCGTTAATAAAATACTTTTTATTCATCCACTCAAGTTCAAATACATTTTTTTAAAACTTGTAGCGGATGACACTTGATGTTAATACAGTTTTCGAATATTAATTCATTAAATAAATTTAAAAAATTAATAAATAGTAACAAACTAAAATAATAGTCCAACAGCACATATAGAAAGGAAAATCGTTCTTTGTGTCCCAGTAGCATAATGCATCGCGCGTTGGACTTCTAATCCAAAGGTCGTAGGTTCGAATCCCACCTGGGATGGTTTAATTTCTGAGAATGTGATTTCTTTTTACTATACTATTTTATTAGAATAATTTAAGCTTAATAAATGATTAAATAGTAACAAACAAAAAAAAATAGTCCAACACCATATCTAGAAAGGAAAATGGAAAATTGCTTTCTATTTTGTCAATTATACTGTTCTGATTCTCTCATATGTATATACATATTTATATTAAATATAACTATTTAGTAAAGAGTAACTAAAATAAAAATTTTCTTTGTTGACCTAAGTAGAATTTGACTTTAAAATTTTTTTTTATATCACTTGTTTTTTCGATAAATTCTGCAAATAAAATATAAGAATAAGTTGATAGGTTTTGTAGTTCTCTTTCGTTATATTTCTTTAAAAAAAATATCAATAAAATTTTCCATTATAGAATGTGTAGTTGTTGCAAATAAATTTGAAATATAAGTGTAAGTAACAATGGCGTAACGGAGAATGTTACAGGCCCCTGTAAAGTAGGGTTTTAGGCCCCAAGCTGGATCTCACAATGGATTCCCAAACGATAACATAACATAGACTTTGGGCCCCTATAGTCCTACTTCCCACTATGCGGGGATTACACCATTGGTAACTAGGTACATTGTGACAATAATAGGAAAATTCAAATATTTGTTATCAACGAGCTTAATCTTTAAAAACCGGAAAAGGGTGCCAAAAACATTTGTTAACAGAAGACTTTCTAAATACTCTA